AACTGACCCCAAAACTGACCCAAAATTACCCCAAAACTGACCCAAAATTACCCCAAAACTGCCCCCAAAATCACTTGAAACTGATCCAAAATTGCCCCAAAACTGCCCCAAAATTACCCCAAAACTGCCCCAAAATTACCCCAAAACTGCCCCAAAATTACCCCAAAACTGACCCAAAATTACCCCAAAACTGACCCAAAATTACCCCAAAACTGCCCCCAAAGTGACCTCAAAATGACCCAAAATTACCCCAAAACTGACCCCAAAATTACCCCAAAAGTAACCCCAAAGTGACCCAAAACTGACCCCAAAGTGACCCAAAATTGCCCCAAAACTGACCCCAAAATTATCCTAAAATGGACCTGAAACTGACCCAAAAATTACCCCAAAAATCACCCAAAATTGCCCCAAAATTGCCCCAAAAATCACCCAAAACTGACCCAAAATTACCCCAAAATTGACCCAAAATTGACCCAAAATTGACCCAAAACTGCCCCAAAATTACCCCAAAATTGCCCCAAACTGCCTCAAAGTGGCCCCAAATTTACCCAAAACTGCCCCAAAATTGTTCCCAATGTCCCCAAAATGTCCCCAAACGTCCCCAAATGTCACCAAACCTCCCCAAAATCCGCCAAAAATCCCCCAAAATTTTTCAGAATCCCCCAAAATTTTCCAAAATCCCCCAAAATTCCCAAAAATTCCACAAAAATTCCCCCAAAATCTCCCCAAAAGCCCTGAAAATCCCCCCAAAATCCACCCCAAATTCCAAAAAATGATCCCAAAGCCCCAAAAATCCCCCCAAAATTCCCCAAATCTCCCCAAAATCCCCCCAAATCTCCCAAAATTCCTCCAAAATCTCCCAAAGATGCCCCCAAAATTCCCAAAAATCCCAGAAAATTCCCCCAAAATCCCTGAAAATCCCCCCCAAACTCCCAAAAACTCCCAAAAGTCCCCCAAAATCTCCCAAAATCCCCCCAAAATTCCCCAAAATCCCCCAAAATCCCCCCAAAATTCCCAAAAATTCCCCCAAAATCCCCAAAATTTCCAAAATCCTCCCAAAAATCTCCCCAAAATTCCCCCAAACTCCCCAAAATCCACCCAGAAATTCCCAAAGATCATCCAAAAATGCCTCCAAATCCCCCAAAATTCTCAAAAAATCAAGAAAAAAAATCCCCCAAAATAAAAAAAATCCCCCCAAATTGTCCAAAATTCCCCAAAATTCCCCAAAATTCCCCAAAATTCCCAAAATTCCCCCAAATCTCCCCCCCAGAGCGGGACCTGGCCCGGAGCCCCCCCTCGGTTCCCCCCTCGCTGCTCCGCGACGTCCTCATGACCTTCTGCATGTTCAACTTCGACCTCGGTGAGTTTGGGGGAATTCCAGGAATTTTTGGGAATTTTGGGGAATTTTTGGAATTTTTTGGGAATTTTTTGGG